TGTGTGAATGAGTGAGTGAACGGGTCGATGAGTGAGTGACAAGGTTTCTGAGTGAGTAAAGGAGTGAGGCGTGGATGAGTGAGTGAGTGGGTGAGAGAGTGAGTGAGAAGGTGAGTGGCCGAGTGAGTGGGTGTGTGAGTGACAGGGTGAGTGGGTGGATGAATGGGCGAGTGGTTGAGCGTGGTGGTGAGCGAGCGAGCGAGTTGGCGAGCAGGTGAGAATGTGAGTGGATGGGTGGGAGAGGGTGAGTGGGTTGGTGAGTGAGCGAACGTTTGGGTGAGCGAGCGAGCGAGTGGGTGAGCAGGTGAGAACGTGAGTGGGTGGGTGGGTGAGTTGTTAGGTGTGAGTGAGTAAGAGGGTGACGGGGTGAGTTTGTGGGTGAGCGAGCGAGTGAGTGGGTGAGCGGGTGAGAACGTGAGTGAGTGGGTGGGTGAGTGGGTAGGTGAGTGAGTGAGTGAGCAAGAGGGTGACGGGGTGAGTTTGTGGGTGCTCGAGCGAGTGAGTGGGTGAGCGGGTAAACGGATTCGCCACCAGTTACGAGTGGGTAGACCACCACCTCTTCCAAAGACGTTTGTGCAACCTGAAAGAGTAGGCCAAGCACATGCTTAAGGCGCCGCGGTGGCTAGGAGATGTTGACTACCTCGCCTGGTATACAGTAAGTCGAGGGTTCGATCCCTCGACCTACTGTATAGTAGTAAGTGTATAGTAGTGTATAGTATAGTGTATAGTAGTGTATAGTGTAGTGTATAGTGTAGTGTATAGTGTAGTGTATAGTGTAGTGTATAATAGTGTATAGTGTAGTGTATAGTAGTGTATAGTGTAGTGTATAGTGTAGTGTATTGTAGTGTATAGTGTAGTGTAGAGTGTAGTGTATAATATTGTATAATAGTGTATAGTGTAGTGTATAGTAGTGTATAGTGTAGTGTATAGTGTAGTGTATTGTAGTGTATAGTGTAGTGTATAGTGTAGTGTATAGTAGTGTATAATAGTGTATAGTGTAGTGTATAGTAGTGTATAGTGTAGTGTATAGTGTAATGTATTGTAGTGTATAGTGTAGTGTATAGTGTAATGTATAGTAGTGTATAGTGTAGTGTATAGTAGCAGTGTAGTGTATAGTAGTATATAGTGTAGTGTATAGTAGTATATAGTATAGTGTGGTCTAGAGCAGTGTATTATTATAGTAGTGTCTAGTGTAGTGTATAGTAGTGTATAGTAGTGTATAGTGTAGTGTATAGTAGTGCATAGTGTAGTGTATAGTAGTGTATAGTGTAGTGTATAGTGTAGAACACTGATTGAGAAAGCCCTCTGAAAAATCAATAAAAATCGGCTTCATTACCCTGCCTGGCAATAGAAGCAAAAATACGTGAGTTGTGTTAAAATATTCGAACCCACGACCTTCACCCCCCCCCACTACTTCACCCCCCCCCACTCCTTCACCCCCCCCCACTCCTTCACCCCCCCCCCCACTCCTTCACCCCCCCCACTCCTTCACCCCCCCCCCACTCCTTCACCCCCCCCACTCCTTCACCGCCCCCACTCCTTCACCCCCCCCACTCCTTCACCCCCCCCCCACTCCTTCACCCCCCCCCCCACTCCTTCACCCCCCCCCACTACTTCACCTTCCCCCACCCCTTCACCCCCCACTACTTCACCCCCCCCACTCCTTCACCCCCCCCACTACTTCACCCCCCCACTCCTTCACCCCCCTCACTCCTTCACCCCCCCCCACTCCTCCCCCCTCCCCCTCTCTCCCCCTCTCCCCCTCTCCTCCTCCCTCCCTCTCCCCCCCTCCCTCTCTCCCCCTCTCCCCCCCTCTCCCCCTCCCTCTCCCCCCCTCCCCCCATCCCCCCCTCCTCCCCCGCCCCCCGTGGTGAGAGTGAGACGTGTGGTGTTGTAGTTTTGTGTAAACTTTGCGCGCCTCGCCCGCGATGTCTGAGCCTGCGGCTCCCCCTGCTGACAGCCCCCCCGCAGTAGCCACGCGTCCACCACTGCTGCACTTTGCTGCACACTGCTGCACACTGCTGCACACTGCTGCACACTGCTGCACTCTGCTGCACTTCGCCGCACTCTGCTGCATACTGCTGCACACTGCTGCACTCTTCTGCACACTGCTGCACTCTGCTGCACTTTGCTGCACACTGACGCACACTGATGCACACTGCTGCACACTGCTGCACACTGCTGGATAATGATACACTTTGCTGCACACAGCTGCACACTGACGCACACTGCTGCACACTGCTGGATAATGATACACTTTGCTGCACACAGCTGCACACTGCTGCACTTTGCCGCACACCGCCGCACTCTGCTGCACTCTTCTGCACACTGCTGCACTCTGCTGCACTTTGATGCACTTTGCTGCACACTGACGAACACTGATGCACACTGCTGCACCCTGCTTGATAATGATACACTTTGCTGCACACAGCTGCACACTGCTGCACTTTGCCGCACACCGCTGCACTCTGCTGCACTCTGCTAAACTTTGCTGCACACAGCTGCACACTGCTGCACTTTGCCGCACACCGCTGCACACTGCTGCACTTTTGATGCACTTTTTATGCACACTGCTGCACACCGCTGCACTGTATTTGCACACCGCCGCACTGTGCTACACACCACCGCACTTTGCCGCACTTTGCTGCACACTGCTGGATAATTATACACTTTGCTGCACACTGCTGCACCCACTGCTGCACTTTGCTGCACTTTGATGCACTTCGATGTAAAATTCTGCCGCACGCATTCCTGCACGCACACACACACAAACATGCACACACACACACACAAACATGCACACACACACACACACTCCTGCACACACACACACACAAACATGCACACACACACACACACTCCTGCACACACACACACACAAACATGCACACACACACAAACATGCACACACACACACAAACATGCACACACACACACACTCCTGCACACACACACACACAAACATGCACACACACAAACATGCACACACACACACAAACATGCACACACACAAACATGCACACACACACACAAACATGCACACACACACACTCCTACACACACACACACACAAACATGCACACACACACACTCCTACACACACACAAACATGCACACACACACACACACTCCTACACACACACAAACATGCACACACACACACACACTCCTACACACACACACAAACATGCACACACACACTCCTACACACACACACAAACATGCACACACACACATTCACACACACACACACAAACATGCACACACACACACAAACATGCACACACACACACACATGCACACACACACAAACATGCACACACACTCACAAACATGCACACACACTCACAAACATGACCACACACACACAAACATGCACACACACAAACATGCACACACACACACAAACATGCACACACACAAACATGCACACACACACGCACACACACGCTCGCACTGCTACACATCCTGAACACTCCCACACACACACTCATGCACACACACACACAAACATGCACACACACTCATGCACACACACACTCGCACTTCTACACATCCTGAACACACACACACTCATGCACACTCACACTGCTGCACACACCACATGCACACACACACTCATGCACACACACGCACACACACTCATGCAAAATCACACTCATGCACACACACACACACACCCTCATGCACACACACACACACTGCTGCACACCCTGAACACACACGCACACAAAACGTGAGATGCTCTTCACTGCTGTATACTTCACTGTTAAATTCTGTCGCACCCTTCCTCGCACACACACACGCACACATACGTGCCCCTGCACGCACGCACACACACTGATGCACACACACTGATGCACACACACTTGCACACACACTTGCACACACACACTCCTTCACACACACTCCTGCACCCACCCGCATACACACACATACTCCTGCAAGCACGCACACTCCTGCACACACACGCACACATATACGCCTGCACGCACACACGCACACACACGCATACTTACGCGCACACACACACACTCCTGCACACACACACTCCTTCACAAACGCACACACACACACCTTCACGCACACACACATACTCCTGCACGCACACACGCACACTCCTGCACACACACACCTTCACACACACACATACTCCTGCACGCGCACACACACACACCTTCACACACACACACACACCTTCACACACACACATACTCCTGCACGCACACACGCACACTCCTGCACACACACACACATTCCTGCACGCGCACACACACACATACTCCTGCACGTACACACGCACACTCCTGCACGCACACACACCTTCACACACACAAACGCACACTCCTGCACGCACACACGCACACTCCTGCACGCACACACACACGCGCACCCCTGCACGCACACACACACGCGCGCCCCTGCACGCACACACACACCTTCACACACACACACACACTCCTGTACGCACACACACACGCACACTCCTGCACGCACACACGCACACTCCTGCACGCACACACGCACACTCCTGCACGCACACACACACGCACACCCCTGCACGCACACACACACACACCTTCACACACACACTCCTGCACGCACACACACACTCCTGCACGCACACACACACGCACACTCCTGCACGCACACATACACCTTCACACACACACCTACTGCTGCACAAACGCACACACACGCACGCACACTCCTGCACACACACACACACACCTTCACACACACACACACCTTCACACACACACACGCACGCACACTCCTGCACACACACACACCTTCACACACACACACACCTTCACACACACACACGCACGCACACTCCTGCACACACACACACCTTCACACACACACACACACTCCTGCACACACACACACACTCCTTCACACACACACACACCTTCACACACACACACCTTCACACACACACACCTTCACACACACACACACCCACCCCTGCACGCCTCGCCGCACTCCCCGCCCAGGCACTGGAGCCAGATCAAGCAGCAGGTCCAGGGGCCCTTCGAGCAGGACGCCGACGCCTTCACGCTGGAGGTCATCGTGGAGCTGGGCCTGGATCGGCACGCCGAGGTGGTGGCCCTCATCTCGGCCTCCGCCACCAGGGAGCTCGCCATCGAGCAGGTGGGGCCGGGCTCCACCGGGGTTGGGCGACGGTGACGGTGGTGGTGGTTGTGGTGGTGGTGTCCGTAGGGGTTGTGTACGTAGGGGTTGTGTACGTTGGGGTTGTGTACGTCGGGGTTGTGTACCTTGGGGTTGTGTACGTAGGGGTTCATCTTCTTTGGTTCTTACGTAGGGGTTGTGTACATAGGGATTGTGTACATTGGGGTTGTGTACATTGGGGTTGTGTACGTTGGGGTGGTGTACGTTGGGGTGGTGTACGTAGGGTTTGTGTACGTTGGGGTTGTGTACGTTGGGGTTGTGTACGTAGGGGTTGTGTACGTAGGGGTTGTGTACGTAGGGGTTGTGTACGTTGGGGTTGTGTACGTAGGCGTTGTGTACGTAGGGGTTCATCTTCTTTGGTTCTTACGTAGGGGTTGTGTACGTAGGGATTGTGTACGTTGGGGTTGTGTACATTGGGATTGTGTACATTGGGGTTGTGTACGTAGGAGTTATGTACGTTGGGGTCGTGTACGTAGGGGTTGTGTACGTTGGGATTGTGTACGTAGGGGTTCATCTTCTTTGGTTCTTACGTTGGGGTTGTGTACGTTGGGATTGTGTACGTTGGGGTTGTGTACGTTGGGGTTGTGTACGTTGGGGTTGTGTACGTAGGCGTTGTGTACGTAGGGGTTCATCTTCTTTGGTTCTTACGTAGGGGTTGTGTACGTAGGGATTGTGTACGTTGAGGTTGTGTACATTGGGATTGTGTACATTGGGGTTGTGTACGTAGGAGTTATGTACGTTGGGGTCGTGTACGTAGGGGTTGTGTACGTTGGGATTGTGTACGTAGGGGTTCATCTTCTTTGGTTCTTACGTTGGGGTTGTGTACGTTGGGATTGTGTACGTTGGGGTTGTGTACGTTGGGGTTGTGTACGTTGGGGTTGTGTACGTAGGCGTTGTGTACGTAGGGGTTCATCTTCTTTGGTTCTTACGTAGGGGTTGTGTACGTAGGGATTGTGTACGTTGAGGTTGTGTACATTGGGATTGTGTACATTGGGGTTGTGTACGTAGGAGTTATGTACGTTGGGGTCGTGTACGTAGGGGTTGTGTACGTTGGGATTGTGTACGTAGGGGTTCATCTTCTTTGGTTCTTACGTTGGGGTTGTGTACGTTGGGATTGTGTACGTTGGGGTTGTGTACGTTGGGGTTGTGTACGTTGGGGTTGTGTACGTTGGGGTTGTGTACGTTGGGGTTGTGTACGTTGGGATTGTGTACGTTGGGGTTGTGTACGTAGGGGTTGTGTACATTGGGGTTGTGTACGTTGGGGTTGTGTACATAGGGGTTGTGTGCGTAGGGGTTCATCTTCTTTGGTTCTTACGTAGGGGTTGTGTACATTGGGGTTGTGTACGTAGGGGTTGTGTACGTAGGGGTTGTGTACGTAGGGGTTGTGTACATTGGGGTTGTGTACCTTGGGGTTGTGTACGTAGGGGTTGTGTACGTTGAGGTTGTGTACATTGGGATTGTGTACGTTGAGGTTGTGTACGTAGAGGTTTGTACGTTGGGGTTGTGTACGTTGGGGTTGTGTACGTTGGGGTTGTGTACGTTGGGGTTGTGTACGTTGGGGTTGTGTACGTTGGGGTTGTGTACGTTGGGATTGTGTACGTTGGGGTTGTGTACGTAGGGGTTGTGTACATTGGGGTTGTGTACGTTGGGGTTGTGTACATAGGGGTTGTGTGCGTAGGGATTCATCTTCTTTGGTTCTTACGTAGGGGTTGTGTACATTGGGGTTGTGTACGTAGGGGTTGTGTACGTAGGGGTTGTGTACGTAGGGGTTGTGTACATTGGGGTTGTGTACGTTGGGGTTGTGTACATAGGGGTTGTGTACGTTGGGGTTGTGTACGTTGGGGTTGTGTACGTTGGGGTTGTGTACGTAGGGGTTGTGTACGTAGGGGTTGTGTACGTAGGGGTTCATCTTCTTTGGTTCTTACGTAGGGGTTGTGTACATAGGGATTGTGTACGTAGGGGTTGTGTACGTAGGGGTTGTGTACGTAGGGGTTGTGTACGTAGGGATTGTGTATGTTGGGGTTGTGTACGTTGGGGTTGTGTACATTGGGATTGTGTACATTGGGGTTGTGTACGTTGGGGTTGTGTACGTTGGGGTTGTGTACGTAGGGGTTGTGTACGTTGGGGTGGTGTCCGTAGGGGTTGTGTACGTAGGGGTTGTGTACGTTGGGGTTGTGTACGTTGGGGTTGTGTACGTAGGGGTTGTGTGCGTTGGGGTTGTGTACGTTGGGGTTGTGTACATTGGGGTTGTGTACGTTGGGGTTGTGTACGTTGGGGTTGTGTACGTAGGGGTTGTGTATGTTGGGGTTGTGTACGTAGGGGTTGTGTACGTTGGGGTTGTGTACGTTGGGGTTGTGTACGTAGGGGTTGTGTACGTAGGGGTTGTGTACGTAGGGGTTGTGTACGTTGGGGTTGTGTACGTTGGGGTTGTGTACGTAGGGGTTCATCTTCTTTGGTTCTTACGTAGGGGTTGTGTACATAGGGGTTGTGTACGTTGTGGTGGTGTCCGTAGGGGTTGTGTACATAGGGGTTGTGTACGTTGGGGTTGTGTACGTAGGCGTTGTGTACGTAGGGGTTGTGTACATTGGGGTTGTGTACGTAGGGGTTGTGTGCGTTGGGGTTGTGTACGTTGGGGTTGTGTACGTTGGGGTTGTGTACGTTGGGGTTGTGTACGTCGGGGTTGTGTACGTCGGGGTTGTGTACATCGGGGTTGTGTACATTGGGGTTGTGTACGTAGGGGTTCATCTTCTTTGGTTCTTACGTAGGGGTTGTGTACATAGGGATTCTGTACGTTGGGGTTGTGTACGTTGGGGTTGTGTACGTTGGGGTTGTGTACGTTGGGGTTGTGTACATCGGAGTTGTGTACATTGGGGTTGTGTACGTTGGGGTTATGTACGTAGGGGTTGTGTACGTTGGGGTTGTGTACGTAGGGGTTGTGTACGTTGGGGTTGTGTACATTGGGGTCGTGTCCATCGAGTGGGTTTGGCCGGGCCCCCATCGATGTGTGCCACAGTGCCGCCCTCCCTCGGCGCTGCTGCCCCGACGCTCGGTTAGAGGCTACACGGGGGACCTTTGTTTTTTCGTCTGTGAGTGAGACGGTGAGTGAGTGCGTGCGCGAGTGAGTGTGTTTGTGTGAGTGAGTGTGTTTGTGTGAGCGAGCGGAGTTTGACTGTTCTCCCCCCCGCTCTGTTCCGTAGGGTGTGAGTGAGCGCGAGCAGGGTGCCCCTAACTCGCTACTACTAACGGCACTTGCCCCGACGCTCTGTTCGAGGCTACACGGGGGACCTTTGCCTTTGTTTGTCTAGGCACTGGAAGCAGTGGCGAAGACGTGGGACACGGCGGTGCTCGACATTGGACAGTACAAGGACAAGGGACACTACAGGCTCCGGTACGTTCCGTTCAATCTCCCGGCGCGGCAGTGAGGTGGGGCTCAGCCTTGAACGAGTAACTGGCGTGGTGGGTGTGTGTGTGCGGTGTGAGATGTGTGTGTGAGATGTGTGTGTGTGTGTGGTGTGTCGGTGTGTGTGAGATGTGTGTGTGTGTGAGATGTGTGTGTGTGTGTGCGGTGTGTGTGTGTGTGAGATGTGTGCGGTGTGTGTGTGTACGGTGTGTGCGGTGTTGTGTGCGGTGTGTGTGGTGTGTGTGTGTGTGTGCGGTGTGTGTGTGTGTGAGATGTGTGTGTGCGGTGTGTGTGTGTGAGATTGTGTGTGTGTGTGTGCGGTGGGTGTGTGTGTGGTGTGTGTGTGTGTGTGTGCGGTGTGTGTGTGTGTGTGAGATGTGTGTGTGTGTGTGCGGTGTGTGTGTGTGTGTGTGCGGTGTGTGTGTGTGCGGTGTGTGTGTGTGTGAGGTGTGTGTGTGTGTGTGAGATGTGTGTGTGTGTGCGGTGTGTGTGTGTGTGGTGTGTGTGCGGTGTGTGTGTGTGCGGTGTCTGTGTGTGTGTGCGGTGTCTGTGTGTGTGTGCGGTGCGTGTGTGTGTGTGAGATGTGTGTGTGTGTGCGGTGTGTGTGTGTGCGGTGTGTGTATGTGTGTGTGAGATGTGTGTGTGTGTGCGGTGTGTGTGTGTGCGGTGTGTGTGTGTGTGCGGTGTGTGTGTGTGCGGTGTGTGTGTGTGTGAGATGTGTGTGTGTGCGGTGTGTGTGTGTGCGGTGTGTGTGCGGTGTGTGTGTGTGTGCGGTGTGTGTGTGTGCGGTGTGTGTGTGTGTGAGATGTATGTGTGTGCGGTGTGTGTGTGCGGTGTGTGTGCGGTGTGTGTGTGAGATGTGTGTGTGCGGTGTGTGTGTGTGTGCGGTGTGTGTGTGTGCGGTGTGTGTGCGGTGTGTGTGTGCGGTGTGTGTGCGGTGTGTGTGTGTGCGGTGTGTGTGTGCGGTGTGTGTGTGTGTGCGGTGTGTGTGTGCGGTGTGTGTATGCGGTGTGTGTGCGGTGTGTGTGTGTGCGGTGTGTGTGTGTGCGGTGTGTGTGTGCGGTGTGTGTGTGTGCGGTGTGTGTGTGTGCGGTGTGTGTGTGTGTGAGATGTGTGTGTGCGGTGTGTGTGTGCGGTGTGTGTGTGCGGTGTGTGTGCAGTGTGTGTGTGTGTGCGGTGTGTGTGTGCAGTGTGTGTGTGTGTGCGGTGTGTGTGCGGTGTGTGTGTGCGGTGTGTGTGTGTGTGTGTGCGGTGTGTGTGTGTGTGCGGTGTGTGTGTGCGGTGCGGTGTGTGTGCGGTGTGTGTGTGCATTGTGTGTGTGAGTGAGTGGAGTTTGTATGATCTCTCCCTGTTCTACAGAATGAGCGAGTGGAGTTTGTATGATCTCCCCGTGTTCCACAGAGTGAGTGGAGTTTGTATGATCTCCCCCTGTTCTACAGAGTGTGAGCGAGTGGAGTTTTTATGATCTCCCCCCGTTCTACAGAGTGAGTGGAGTTTGTATGATCTCCCCCTGTTCTGCAGAGTGAGAGTGAGTGGAGTTTGTATGATCTCCCCCCCGTTCTACAGAGTGAGAGTGAGTGGAGTTTGTGTGATCTCCCCCTCTTCTGCAGAGTGAGCGGGGATGAGTTGGAGGGAGCAGGCAGGGGGGGAGGGAAGAAGGAGACAGAGTGGAGAGGAGGAGATGGACGGAGGGTTTGGACAGAGGGAGTCAGGGGGGAGATGGAGGGGAGAAGGGAGCGAGGGAGAGGGAGAGAGGCAGGCAGGCAAAGTAGCTGACAGTAATTTTATGATAGGCGCGTTGACAACCATCAAGTGCATCGAGGGTAATTGGGTTTATTGGCTGTGGGATGAAGGTGCGGGGGGGGGTATGGTGGTTGTAGGAGCTTGGGGGGTTGCGCGTGGGGGTGGCGTGGTTGGGGTGGGGTGGTTGGTGATGGGTGGGCTTGGGTAACGCTGACTACTGACTCTCACCGCCGCCGAGAATGGGATAATGATGCAGATGTCTAGAAAGTGGAGACGTGGAATCTGCTGGGAGGAGATGGAGGAGGATAGGGGGGGGGAGGAGGAGGATAAGGTGGGGAGGTGGAGGAGGGGGGGAGGTCGCTACTCGCAGGGCCTCTGACCAATTCACCCGGAATATTCCCGCGGTGTTACCGGAGGAGCGGGGTGGAAAGGTCGTGCCATGCGGGGTCAGAATCTGAATATTTATTGGGACCGCAAGGAGGAATCCGATTTGCTTCGAAGCATGGGGGCCATGGTGTCAGAGCGTTGCAGACGCACATAGACTCACTTAGACTCACATAGACGCACATAGACTCACTTAGACTCATAGACTCACATAGACTTACATAGACTCACTTAGACTCACATAGACTCATAGACTCACATAGACTTACATAGACTCACTTAGACTTACATAGACTCACTTAGACTCACATAGACCCACTTAGACCCACATAGACTCACATAGACTCACATAGACTCACATAGACTCACTTAGACTAACTTAGACTCATAGACTCACATAGACTCACATAGACCCACATAGACTCATAGACTCACATAGACCCACTTAAACCCACATAGACCCACATAGACCCACATAGACTCACATAGACTCACATAGACTCATAGACTCACATAGACTTACATAGACCCACATAGACTCATAGCCTCACAGAGACCCACATAGACCGAGATAGACTCACATAGACCTACATAGACCCACCTAGACCCACATATACCCACTTAGACCCACATGAACTCTCATAGACCCACCTAGACCCACATATACCCACTTAGACCCACATCAACTCTCATAGACCCATTTAGACCCACGTAGATCCACGTAGACCCAACTAGATCCACGTAGACTCACCTAGACCCAGCTAGACCCACGTAGACCCACTTAGACCCACGTAGATCCACATTGACCCACATAGACTCACATAGACTCATAGACCCACCTAGACCCAGCCAGACCCACATAAACCCACTTAGACCCAGCTAGACCCACGTAGACCCACTTAGACCCACTTAGATCCACATAGACCCACATGGACTCACATAGACCCACATAGACTCACATAGACCCACATAGACCCATTTAGACCCACATAGACCCACATAGACTTACATAGACTCATAGACTCACGTAGACTTACATAGACCCACATAGACTCACATAGACCCAGCTAGACCCACGTAGACCCACTTAGACCCACTTAGATCCACATAGACTCATAGACTCACATAGACCCACATAGACCCACATGGACTCACATAGACCCACATAGACCCACATGGACTCACATAGACCCACATAGACTCACATAGACTCATAGACTCACGTAGACTTACATAGACCCACATAGACTCATAGACTCACATAGACTCATAGACTCACCTAGACCCAAATAGACCAATTTAGACCCACGTAGACCCACATAGACTCACATAGACCCACATAGACTCACATAGATCCACATAGACTCATAGACTCACATAGACCAACATAGTCTCACATAGATCCACATAGACTCACATAGACCCACATAGACCCATTTAGACCCACGCAGACCCACATAGACTTACATAGACTCATAGACTCACATAGACCCACATAGACTCATAGACTCACATAGATCCACATAGACTCATAGACTCACATAGATCCACATAGACTCACATAGATCCACATAGACTCACATAAACTCACATAAACTCACATAGACTCACATAGGCTCACATAGACTCACATAGACCCACATAGACTCACTTAGACTCACATAGGCTCATAGACTCACATAGACCCACATAGACCCACATAGACCCACATAGTCTCACATAGATCCACATAGACTCACATAGACTCATATAGACTCACATAAACTCACATAGACTCATATAGACTCACATAAACTCACATAGGCTCACATAGACTCACATAGACCCACATAGACTCACATAGACTCACTTAGACTCACATAGGCTCATAGACTCACATAGACCCACATAGACCCACATAGACCCACATAGACCCACATAGACTCACATAGATCCACATAGACTCACATAGACTCATATAGACTCACATAAACTCACATAGACTCATATAGACTCACATAAACTCACATAGGCTCACATAGACTCACATAGACCCACATAGACTCACTTAGACTCACTTAGACTCACATAGGCTCATAGACTCACATAGACTCACATAGACCCACATAGACCCACATAGACCCACATAGTCTCACATAGATCCACATAGACTCACATAGACTCATATAGACTCACATAAACTCACATAGACTCATATAGACTCACATAAACTCACATAGGCTCACATAGACTCACATAGACCCACATAGACTCACATAGACTCACTTAGACTCACTTAGACTCACATAGGCTCATAGACCCACATAGACCCACATAGACCCACATAGTCTCACATAGATCCACATAGACTCACATAGACTCATATAGACTCACATAAACTCACATAGACTCATATAGACTCACATAAACTCACATAGGCTCACATAGACTCACATAGACCCACATAGACTCACTTAGACTCACTTAGACTCACATAGGCTCATAGACTCACATAGACTCACATAGACCCACATAGACCCACATAGACCCACATAGTCTCACATAGATCCACATAGACTCACATAGACTCATATAGACTCACATAAACTCACATAGACTCATATAGACTCAGATAGACCCACATAGACCCACATAGACTCACATAGACTCACATAGACTCACATAGACCCACATAGACCCACATAGACTCACATAGACTCACATAGACCCACATAGACCCACATAGACCCACATAGTCTCACATAGATCCACATAGACTCACATAGACTCACATAGACTCACATAGACCCACATAGACTCACATAGGCTCACACAGGCTCACACAGGCCCACGTAGACCCACGTAGACCGACATAGGGAACCCCGGGTCATGCCCAAGTGACGTCTGCCGTGGCCTCCCCTGCACGCAGGGGCACGGAGGAGCTGTTCCAGACGCTGGAGGACAATCAGGTGATGCTGTGCACCATGAAGGCGTCCCCGTCTGTGCGGCCCTTCGAGGCCCAGGTGGACCGCTGGGAGCGTTCCCTCTCCCTCCTCCTCGAGGTGGTCGAGGCGCTGCTCACCGTGCAGAGGCAGTGGATGTGCCTGGAGGTGAGCGGCGTCGGCGTCCGTCTGTCCGTCCGTCCATCCGTCCATCCGTTCATCCGTCTGTTCGTTCATCCGTCTGTCCATTCTTCCATCCGTCCATCCGTCCATCCGTCCATCCGTCCATCCATTCGTCCATCCGTCCATCCATCCATCCATCCGTACACTCATCCATCCATCCATCCGTCCATCCATCCGTACACCCATCCGTCCATCCATCCGTCCATCCATCTGTCCATCCGTACACCCATCCATCCGTCCATCCGTACACCCATCCGTCCATCCATCCATCCGTCCATCCATCCATCCATACACCCATCCGTCCATTCTTCCATCCATCCATCCGTACACCCATCCGTCCGTCCATCCATCCATCCATTCTTCCATCCATCCATCCGTCCGTTCATCCGTCCGTCCATCCATCCATCTATTCTTCCATCCGTCCATCCGTCCGTTCATCCGTCCGCCCGCCCTTTCCTCCGTCTCGTGCCAATTATGCTCAAGCAGTGCGACATCTTTCCGGCCACCAATCTCTTATCGTCGTCGTCGTCGTTGTCAAGCCATTCTCTGGTAGCCCTTCCTCTCGCTTTGCTTGAACAACGCACTTTTAACCCCCCCCCCCCGCCTCGTCCCCCCATTGTTGCCTTTCAACTTACACGTGTGTCCAAACAGTGCCCCCGTTATATAACTACTTTGCTTTTTTTCGTTTCGTTTCACTTTGCAAGGTGAGGCCCACTGGAGCTGCTGTATAGCTCCAGGGGTTCAAGCCACCCCCCCCATTACCACCACCCCCCCCCACCCCCCTCTCTCTGTTCACTTCTCTCTTAAAAGCCTCGGCGTGGCGCCCGCCGGCTGATTCGCCGCTGGGTTTCGTGGTGGTGGTGGTAGCGGTGGTAGTGGTGGTGGTGGTGGTTGTGGTGGTGGTGGTTGTGGTGGTGGTTGTGGTGGTGGTGGTAGCGGTGGTAGTGGTGGTGGTGGTGGTGGTTGTGGTGGTGGCTGGCGGTGGTGGTGGTGGTGGCGGCGGCGGTGGCGGTGGTGGTGGTTGTGGCAGTGATGCCGGTGGTGGTCACGCTGGTGGCGGTGGTGGCGGTAGTGGCGACGGTGTGGCGTTGGTGGCGGTGGGGGTGGCAGTGGTGGCGGTGGTGGCGCTGGTGGTGGTTGTGGCAGTGATGCCGGTGGTGGTCACGCTGGTGG